CAGGGGGCAACTGTGGGGGACCTGAGGGGAGTCCAGAACCCCTCCAAGATCCTGCCTGTGACAGGGAAGGTTCTGCATAGAGCCGGGTATCCAGGGGTCCTGAAGGATGCCAGTGGGGGGAGAGTCAGTCTTAAGAATGCCCTCCCCTCTTCCTGACCCACCACATACACACAGAAGCCCAGGGGAATGGCTGGGTGTCTCACTGGTGCCAGGTGACTCTGGACCCTTAGGCCTCAGTTTTGCCCATCTGAGGAATGGGACCTTAACCCCATCCCAGACATCTCAGAATGCTACGTGAAGGTTACTGGGAAATTTAGGGGCCCCCTTGGCATCTTATTCCCTCTCTAGAGCTCACCTCCATTCCCAGGGAAAACGGACACGGCCTCCCCAGGTCCGAGGGCGGGTAGAAGTCAGGAGTCAGGAAACCTTCAGCAGCAGAGGAGGCAAGGTAAGGGTAGGGGCTGTCTGCGTACGCAGCATTCGTGTTGGGATCCCAGTCTGGAAAGCCTGGATGGGGAGCCAGGCTGCCGGGTCCGGAGCCCAAAGTCTCCTGGTGAGCTGGGTAGGGAGTATGGCCTGCGTGTGAGAGGAGGGCCGGGGACAACCTGGTTACCGGAGTCAGGCAAGCCACAGCTGCAGCAGCTGGATGAGGATCTGGATGTTCCCAAGGCACAGAAAGCGAGTGCTTCTGTGACACAAGGGGAAGGAACCCAGAATCCTGCGGCACCAGGAGCAGACGCTTGGACTTCTGGGACACTGAGAGGTGGAGGGCCCAGATTCCTGGAACACCATGAACTTGGGAGTCTTGGGTACCTAGTGTCCCCCAAAGGATATCAGCAGGGAAACCTGGAGATCAAATTTCTAAGGGGTCCCAGCAAGAATGAGAGCCTGGCACCTCCCTGGTGGTGCGAGGGCTTAAGCACAGCTCTGTGAAGTTATCCGCAGCCTCTGCAGCACCAGTTCCATCCCCAGGCAGGGAGCTACCCACAAGGCGCTGCAGACCTCTCCTGTCTCGCCCGCTGCTCCCCTCAGCAGTGTATTTCAGTCGATCTGTCTGTTCTTCTCCCCACTCTGTCTCTGGTGTGTCCTCTCACCCCCCACACCTCTGGCCTGCACCCCAGCTTTTGTATGCATAAATAAATCTTTAAAAAAAAAAAAAAAAAGAACGAGAGCCTGGCATGTCAGTTCCCAAAAGTTCTGAGATGGGATGTTAGAGGCTCTAAGGGAAGCGAGGGAAGGAGTTGAGGGAACCAGATGAGTCCCCAGACTTACCAGCCTCACCCTCACTCACAGATGGGGTCAGGGACTGAGCCAGGGGCGCCGGGAACTGTCCCTAGAGAGCAGAAACAAAAAGGGAAAAGGGTGAATTTACCTGGTGGATTTCTCAGCAGCCATTCCCCACCCCCAGGGCATCTCTCCCCATGCCAGCAAGTCGGGTGGGTCCCTGCCCAACAGGAGGAGGCCTCGTGGGGGGTTGCCATCAGCTCCCAGATTGACAGGGCTCCTGGGCCTCACCGGTACCCCACCAGCGGCAGGCTGCTGCTGGCGGCGCCTCTGTTCTTCCAGGAGCTTCTTCACGGTCTGCGATGGGCAGTGGCTGCGCTCGCTCCGGCTCACTGTTGGCGGCAGGAAGGAAGTCATCAGCGCCCCAAGTCCCCCCGCCGGGGGCGCGGGGGAGTGGATCTGGGCGACCTCCTCGCCCTCCCGCGCGGAAAAACTGGCACACTGCTGCGGCCTGAGAACTAGCTCCAAAGCCCATCGAAGATTTCGGGCGCGGGGCCCGCCTCCGCTCTTCCTTCCCTTTGCTCCGCACTTTCCCCCTGACCCAACTTTCCACCAGCGTCGTGGAAACTGCGCAAGGAGGAGGAGGGCGCCCCTTGGCGATCCCCGGTCCGCTTCCGTGAAAAACACAGCCCCCCACCCCAGTCTCCCAGGCCTGCCTGAGCCCCGGGAGGCGCGGGGCACCCCTCTCTGGAGATGCCAACATCTCTTTACCCCAAAAGCTGGCACTGCTTTCTCAGGACACCGAGCCCGCGAGTCCAGGGTTCCCCAGCTCGTCAGGCTCCGGAGGTTCGGATCCCGCCTCAGCTTCAGACCCAAGCGTCGAGGGCGCACCCCGCAGAAGCTGAGCCCCTGCTGCCCCACGACCCTGAGCCCGCGCCCCGATCTGGGACGCCCACTCTCCGGACGCCGCGCCCGCGCCCGCGCCCACGCGGCCCGGGTTCCGGCGGGGGAAGGGTTAAGCGGGGGAGGGCCGGCTCCGAGTCGCCGACGCGCTGACGTCACGGCGCTCACGCAAGGGAATCTTCCATTCCCCGCCCCCGCCCCTTCCCCCCGCAGGTGTCCGGCGCGGGGCGGGGCGCCGGCCGAGCGTGGCGCAAGTGGAATCCCCGCACGTGGGGAATTCCCGGTCCGCTGGGGACCCTGGACCCCGCCCGGCCGGGAATCCCCGGGCACGGACGGGGCGCCCGCCGGCGTGGACCCCCGCGCCGGGCGCCCGACCTTGCGCTCCGCGACGGCGGCTGACTGGAGGCGACCACGCCCCCCAGCCCCGCTCCGGCCCTTCCCCCACCGGGGGTCCCGGCCGCCGGCCCCCGCCCCCCCAGCACCCCGGGACCCGGGCCTCCGCCCTCACGCACGCGGCGCCCGGGACCCCGGATCCCCGATCTCCCCCCCGCCCCCTCGCCCCTCACCCCACCCCCGGGACTCGGGGGTCCAGAGTCCCAACCCCGCTTCATCGAGACCCAGAAGTCCGGGCCGCCTGCCCCCTCCAAACACCGGGTACCCCCCTCGGGGCTCCGCCTGGAAGCCCCGGCCCCGGCCCCGGGGCCCTGAGGGCGCGACTCCCGGCGCCTCGCTCTCGGGGAGGCCCAGCGGGCCTCGCCTCCCGCCCCCGTTACCTCTGGGATTCCTCGGCGTGGACGGCGGGCCCCCAGGGCCCCGGCCTCGGCGCTGCGCCAGCCTCGCTGTTACCCCGCGGAGCCGCCGCCGGGTCCCCGTTCTTGGGTCGGGCCCCCGCGAGTTTTTAAACTGGGGTTCTGACACCGCCCAGTCCCGGATCAGCCCCACCCACCCGGCCGGGACTCCCCACGTCACACTCCAGCAAAGCCACCCTCGGGGGGCGGGGCTGCCCCTGAGCTCCGACCCGGCTCTCCCGGGAATGAGGGAGCTGGGACCCCATCTTTGTTTTAAGGGGCCTGGGGTAGCAGCCTCCTGAAGGAGAACTCTGGGGGCCGGGACTTCTGGGTTTCTGTGCAAGGGGGTGCTGGAGGCCGTAACTCCTGGCCCTGGGCTGGGAGGGTTCGGTGTTACTGGGCTCTGGGTTGGAGCCAGCTGGGAGCCCCAACCTCCTGGGCCCCAGGAGTGAAAGGGCTGTAGGAAAGAGTGGGACAGGTGGATTCAGATTTCTTCTTCATCCCCACATCTCTTCTGTTTCAGAGGTCATTCGCATTTATTTATTCGTCATTAAAAATAATTATCACTGGGCCTCCCCGGTGGCGCAGCGGTTGAGCGCTGGTTTACGAAGCTGCCCGCAGCCTCCGCAGCGCCGGTTCGATCCCCGGCTGCTCCCCGGCCACCAGAGGAGGGTCCCGCATGGCGCGCAGACCTCTCCTGCCGCCCGCTGCTCCCCTCAGCAGTGTACTTCGGTCCTTCTGCCTGTTCTGCTCCCCGCTCTGGCTCTGGTGAATTCTCTCACCCTCCCGCGCTTCTGACTGTACCCAGTGCTTGTATAAATAAATAAACAAATAATAAATAAGTAAATAAATAAATTCTTAAAAAAAAAAAATTATCACTGCAGGGGCCTCCCCGGTGGTGCAGCGGGTTGAGCGCAGCGCTGTGAAGCTGTCCGCAGCCTCTGCAGCGCAGGTTCGATTCGCGGCCTGTCAGGGAGCTACCCACATGGCGCAGCAGACCTCTCCTGTCTCACCCGCTGCTCCCCTCAGCAGTGCTTTCTGCCTGTTCTGCTTCCCACTCTGTCTCTGGTGAATCCTCTCACTCTCCCGTGCCTCTGGCCTGTACCCCAGCTATTGTATAAATTAAAAAAATATGAAAAAAATAATTATCACTGCAGCTACACCCTTGGCTGGGTGTTGTGTGTTAAACCGGCAGGAATTCCCAGACCTGAAGCCCACTGGCATTCCAGTGGGAGGCTGGTTCTCATTTCCCCTTTCTGTGCCTCCACCAGCACTGACTGTTCTCCGAATCTGTCCCTGCTTTCAAGATTCCACACTCTCCTGTTCCTCCTCCCTCCCTTGTGGCGCCTTCTCCATTCCCCTGGCTGTTTCCTCCTTTTCTCTTGCTGTCTGTGTTTGGGGGCGGCAGGGAGGAGGTGTCTACTCACTTCCTCAGTGATCTCATCCAGTCTTGTGGTTTTAAATACTATCCATTTGCCATAACCCCCAAATTTACATGTCCAGGCCAGACTTAGGCCCTGGACCCCAAATGCATGCACGGTCATCCCACTTGACTTCTACGCAGGCATTTCCAACTCAGCACTTTCCCTTTCCATCTGTCAAAGGTTACTCCAGCTTTTCAGTTGCCCAGGCCAGAAACTTCGGTCATCCTGGATCCTTCTCTCTCACTCTCTCTCACGCACAAACACACCCGCACCGCCGATTGCATCTACTTCAAAATTCTTTCCAGAATCTCCCCAGCGCCCACACCTTGGTCCACCTGTCACTGCCCGCTTGGAATATGATGGCAGCCCCCCTGGTCTCTCCAATTCTCTCTTGAATTGGTGCCCAGATTGCATCTACTTCAAAATTCTTTCCAGAATCTCCCCAGCGCCCACACCTTGGTCCACCTGTCACTGCCCGCCTGGAAAATGATGGCAGCCTCCCTGGTCTCTCCAATTCTCCCTTGAATTGGTGCCCAGAGGCTGTCACTGAGACCCACCACCTCTCAACCTCCCTCTATCGCTCCCCAATACAGGAAGCTAGCAAATGATCTTGCCACCAACTAGTTGACATCCGCTCTCTGCCTCTGCGTTGTCTGTCACAACTGCGCCCTAGAACTTCTCTGCCCTGGCCCACCATGGTCCCTCCAGGCAAAATCCTGCTGCTGCTTCTGCTCCCAGGTGAAGCCAGCGGTTATGGGGGTGGCTGGCGGGCAGAGTATTGGTGAAAGGGGTGATTCAGGTCGCATCTGAAGGGGTGGGTGCTGAGGGTGGGTCCTGCTCCCAGTGCCTCTTCACTTCCTGGTGATCCATTTGACTTTAGAGCCTGAGTCTTTGGGGAAAGCAGCTGAGATTTGGGGAGGCTTTGGGGAGGCTGCCTGATCATCTGCCCTACTCACTGCTGCCTCTGGGCCTCTGCTTCTGTTTTTCGTCTCTCCCTGGATCTCAGGGAGCTCCGCCCACCCCATCCCCCAGTCTGGCCCTCCTCTCTCACTTGATCCCCCCAGAGTGGAGGTTTTTTTCTTGGGACATCACCTTTCCCTACACCTGACTTTCCGAGAATCACCTGTTTCCCTGATCTACTTTTCCTCTTTTCACAGTGGCAGCCGCTGAGATGGTGCCAGGTGAGAGGTCAACACTCCTTGCTGTCGATTTGCCACTTTAGGACTACTTCTGTCCTTAAAGCGTGGCCAGGGAGTCCTGGAACACCCTCAGAGGCTCTCCAGATCACCCGCTCACCCTGGCTCCCAAATCAGAGCCCGCAAAGGATCTGCAGCCCTCTCCGGGCACGCTCTCCCCATAGCACCACCCCCATCACCAAATTGAAGCCAGCGACCCCCAGCCTCTCTTTGGGAGGCCCTGCTATGCCCAAAGCACAGTCCTTAGGGTCTGGCACCTCCCTCAGCTGCCTGCTTCTCTTGTCCCCGCCCCTCCAGGTTCCTGTCCCGGATGTGGGCCCCCGTCCCCAAAGCTCCAGGCAGCCCTTGTGGCAGCTGATGCGGTGGTGTCGCTGCTGATCCTAGCCGCGGTGTTTGTGTATGTTCGCCTACGTGCAAGGCCCACCCAAGGTGAGGACAGGTCTGAGGGTGAGTGGTGTCCCTAGGGGGGGGTCCCTTGGAGGGGGCCCCTGGGGAAGCCCTGGAGGAGGTGCTGGGGAAACCCTGGGGAAGGTGCTCAGGGGAACTCCTGCGGAATCCCCTGAGACAGGGGGTCCCCAGGAAGGGGGCGATGTGTAAGTGTGGGTGGTCAGGCCTCATGATTTCTCTCCCCCGCCTCCAGAAGAAAGCAAAGTCTACATCAACATGCCTGGCAGGGGCTGACCCTCCCCCCTGTAGCTGGGACCTTTGACTTCTGACCCTCTCACACTGGATTGTGGATGTTGGTATGGGAAGCCCACTCTTGTGTTGGAATAAAATACCAGTTGAAATACCTCTGGTTCTAATTTTTCAAAGAATTGTTCCCTAAAGTCTCTCTCCCATTTAGCTGTTTCTGAGTTCGTGAGACCCCCCCCCACCTCCCCCCTACGCCCCCGGCAACCTTGTATATTTCCATTCCCTCAGCCCAAGGGTGTGGAATAACTTGACAGTGGTTTTGTGTTCCATGTTTATTTGGAAACAGTAGTGGGGAGAGGTATGATGTTTAGGGAACACTCTGTGGATCCGCATCTTGGTGGGGGTTAAAATAGGGTGCTGGATGGGCAGCAGGAATGTCTGCATCCAGGCATTAGGCTGTTGACTGCTGTGGTTCAGGCTTACTTGTACTGCTGCCTCTGTATATTGAGGTCGCTGTAGACATCTGATCTCTGCCCTTGGAGCTCCTAAACAAGCAGACAGGAACCAGCATTGTCAGGGTGGGGACCGGAAGTAGAAGGGTTTCAGCAAAAAATACTTAAAAAACTAAATCCAGGGCCTCTTTGGTGGCCTAGGGGCCACCAAAAAGTCTCAGCACCATCACTTTTACGGCCCGAGTTTGATACCCGGCCAGGGAGCTACCCACATGGGGCAGCAGACCTCTCCTGTCTTGCCCACTGCTCCCCGCAGCAGTGTATTAGGTCTGCCTGTTCTGCTCCCCACTGACTCTGGTGAATCCTCTCACCTCCTGGCCTATACCCCAGCTCTTCCACACAAAATAAAAAAAAATTAAAAATAAATAATAAAAGTAATTTACAAATCTTACAATGTTTCAAATAAATAAATAAATAAATAAATAAATAAATAAAACCGTTTTCTCCAAGGGACCTGCAAGTCTCCCGGCAGCTTCTCCAACCTTGTAGCCATGGAAAAGATCTGGATTTTACTCAAGTACATTCAATGTCCCCCTTTCTCCTTGGCGTCATCATTTTGATGATAGCCTCAGGGCCTTTGCACATGCTGCTGTTTTCTTTGCCTGGAACACTAGTTCCCTAGATCTGCCCACAGATGGTTCCTTCTCCCCCTGTAAGTCCCGTGAGGCATCTTGATTTCCCCATCTAGCTTCTGCCCCCCACACCCCAGTCACTGTCACATCAGCCAGCTTTATTTCCTTCATGATGCCTTCCCAAATGATCATGTTTGTCAATCGACTTCAAGTCTGTCTCCACAACCAGGACATGAGCTCTGCTGCTGTGTCTCCAGGGCCTAGCACATATGTATGTTCAGCAAAGTCCACTGAAGAAATGAATAAGTTGGGGTAATATTTGTCTTTAAAATATCACTGCCGGGGCCTCCCTGGTGGCGCAGCGGGTTGAGCGCTGCTCTGTGAAGCTGTCCGCAGCCTCTGCAGTGCGGGTTCAATTCCCAGCCGGCCAGGGAGATTCCCACATGGCATGGCAGACCTCTCCTGTCATGCCCGCTGCTCCCCTCAGCAGTGCTTTTTGGTCTGTCTGCCTGTTCTGTTCCCCTCTCTGACTCTGGTGAATCCTCTCACCCTCCCACGCCTCTGGCCTATAACTCAGCTCTTGTATAAATAAAAAATAAATCTTTAAAACAAAAACAAAAATAAAATATCACTGCCGGACCTCCCTGGTGGCTCAGGCATTAAGTCCCAGCACTATGAAACTATTGCCAGCGCCTGCAGCAGGAGTTCGATCCCCGTCCAGGGAGTTGACCCATAGAGTGCAGCAGACCTCTCCTGTCTCGCCCGCTGCTCCCCTCAGCAGTGCATTTCAATAGATCCGCCTATTCTGCCCCCCAAACTCTGTCTCTGGTGAATCCTCTCACCCCTTGCACCTCTGGCCTACACCCCAGTTCTTGTATGCATAAACAAACAAATAAACAAATCATTAAAAGAATAATGAAATCTCACTGCCTCCCTGTAGCTGAAAAGCCCCTTCAGTCTTCCAGACCTCAGGGCCTAACTCCTAAAGGATCCTTACACTTTACAGAGAGACATTTTATCCACAGGTGAGGCAAAACAAAGCCGGCTGCTGATAAAGAAAACAGACTTTGCACAACGGGGCTCACGATTGGAGGGGTGGGGAGGTTCTGTGCCCTGAGAGGAAGGCCTCAGACAGGGTCCTGAAACACATGCACACAACCAGTCTGGGTGTGCATCTTTCTAGGCAGGGGTCTGTTTGGCTTCTCAGAAGACCCATGACCCCCTAAAGTGTTAAGGACGGTGTGGCTGACATCTAGACTTGCATCTGCATTGTGGTTCTGAAGATCGGTTTCAAGGGTACTTGCACCCCCCCCCCTTGATTATAGGCACAGTTTTGTGTTTCCTTTTATTTTTAAAGATTTATTTATGCATACAAGAGCTGGGGTGCAGGCCAGAGGTGTGGGGTGGGTAAGAGGATTCACCAGAGACAGAGTGGGGAGCAGATCAGGCAGACTGACTGAAATACACTGCTGAGGGGAGCAGCGGGTGAGACAGGAGAGGTCTGCTGCGCCATGTGGGTCAGCTCCCTGGCCGGGGATTGAATTCGTGCTGCAGTGGCTGTTGATAGCTTGATAGCGCTGAGACTTAACACCTGTGCTACCAGGGAGGCCCTCAATTTTGTATTCCTTGATTGGATGTTTTTGAGGAATTCCTAGCTTTCACCACTTTCTCCAGGGGCTGAAGGATCCCTCCCCTCTTTAGAGTTAGCAAACTAGGGCTAAATTACGTCCTCTGCCCTTTGGAGAGCTGCTGCCAAAATCGGTTTGTTCTGGGCAGCCATTTCCAGAACAATTTGGAGCCTGCCTTCTGGCAAAGCAGAGCAAGCCCTATATTTCCTGTCACTTTTTAAGCGGAGCATCAGGTTGGGAGCGGCCCCTGAACGCAGTTCTGGACAGATGGCCCACTTGTCCTCAAGGGTTTGGAGAGCTGCCTGCGAAGTGGCTGCAGGGCCTAGGTTTGAAGGGCCCGGGAGCAGTATTTAGGTCAGACCCCCCAAAGGGCAGGAGTGAGATGTGAGGGAGAGAAGCTGGTTTCCTCACCTGATATGGCGACTCTGTCTCAGCCATGCGCTGTTTCCGGGACACTGTTGGGGGGAAGGGTGGACAAGGTGCAGAGACAGGCAGGGTGATGAGTCGGGGCCATTTTGCTATTGCAAAAGCCCCCCCCCATCACTGTCCCTTTGTATGCTGGTGACTCGGGAGCAGACCCCTCCCTGCCAGGCAAGTTCTCAGAGTGTCCTGGGCCATCGCTGCCAGCCTCACTCACCCTCCGAGGCCGCTCGCCTCCGCGGGACCAGCCGGCCCAGGGAGTACACAGCCAGGGCGATGAGCAGAGTCAGCACCAGGTCCCCCAGCACGATCCCCGCCAGCACACCAGGGCTCACCGCAGAGCACTTGCATTCTGGGAATGTGGCAGGTCAGCGGAGGTCAGTGAAAGTGGGGAATTGGGAGGAGGGGTGAGCAGGAGGACAGAGATGAGGTCTTTGAGAGGTAGGGAGGGAGTTGCAGGGTCTAAGCCTACCTTGCATGGCCTGGACAGGGCTGAGATCTGAGGAGAGAAAAAGAAGGTAAGCTGAGGCAGGGGATTCCGACCGGGAGGTGGGTGTAGTCACTGGGGAGGGTGGGTCTCCACAGCTGCGTCTGGTGGGGCCTGCGGGCCGGCATTTAGGCCGCGGGACTGTGTGACTTAAACCACTTGTTCTGTTGCAACATCCTCAGCGTCTCTTCCCCCTGCTTCTACCAGAGGCCAAATCTTGGGGGGTCAGGTTCTGGGAGAGACCCACAGGGCTTGGGGGTTTGGGGATCTGCTCCCAGCCTGATCCTCACCTTTGGTTCTCTCTTTCCGCCTTGCTCCCCGCCCTACCCCAAGGGGAGTCCAGGGGCTCAAGGGGCAGCAGCCCAAGCCCTCTACTCACCAGCCAGAGTCAGAAGGAGAGGCAGGATCAGGAGCCGGTTGGAGGGTCCACGGCCCCCCATGACGCAGGCGATGCAGAGGGACACCACAGTCTAAGGGTCAGTGGGATATGGCGTCCAGCCAAGTGAAGGAGGAAGTCTGACGTGGGTGCCGGCAGGAGGGAGGAGGGGACAAAGGGGAGGGACAGAGACATAACACCAGAAAGAGTCAGACCCAGACACCCCAGGAGCCCTGACGCAGCCACTAATGGTGGATGTGAAGGGTAAATGGGAAATACGTCAACTTGACCTCCATTCCCAATTAGGGGTCAGACATCACTGTCACAGGACAGCTGCAACTGACCACAGTTAAAGCCATTTCTGCCTCTTCTTCTTCTTTTTAATATTTACCCCCTTGTTTGTATTTTTTTTTAAAGATTTATTTTATTTATACAAGAACAGGGGTACAGGCCAGATGCGCGGGAGAGTGAGAGGATTTACCAGAGACAGAGTGGGGAGCAGAACAGGCAGACCTACCGAAATACACTGTTGAGGGGAGCAGCGGGCGAGACAGGAGAGGTCTGCTGCATCATGAGTGTTGCTCCGCGGCCTGCGGGGATCAAACCGACACTACAGATGCTGCAGACAGCTTCACAGCACTGTGCTCAACTGCCTCTGCCACCAGGGAGGCCCTTGTTTGTTTTTTTTAAAGATTTATTTATTTATTCATACAAGACCTGGGGCACAGGCCAGAGGTGTGAGGGGGTGAGAGGACTCACCAGAGACAGAGTGGGGAGCAGAACAAGCGGATCCACTGAAACATACTGCTGAGGGGAGCAGCGGGCGAGACAGGAGAGGTCTGCTGCACCATGTGGGTTGCTCCCTGGCTGGGGATCGAATTCGTGCTGCAGAGGCTGCGGATAGCTTCATAGTGCTATGCTTAACCCCTTGCGCCACCAGGTAGGCCCTCTGCCTCTTATTGACTGGACAACCTCGAACAAGTTGCTCAGTTTCTCTGGGCCTCAGTTTCCTCACCTGTAAAACCGGGAGTTAAAATAGTATCTACTTTGTAGGGTGTTGGGGACTCAAATGAATTAGTATTTCTAGAATACGGTCAGACACCTGTCAGCTTGTGATTAGCACCAGCTACACTAATGATTTGATCATCAGAAATGGGTGCTGTTGCCCCTCGGCTATTAAGAAAGCCTCAGGGTGTGGACACCAGTGAGGGGCAGGCCTCCCTGGTTAACTCATTTGACCCCCTCACATAGATGCTCTTAATCATCCCATTTTGCAGAAAGGTAAAGACACCTGCCAAAGCCGCGCGGAAATAAATGTGGAAATGGAACCCAGGATCCCAAGACGCACATGTGACCCTGCGAGACGAAGGAAAAGTGAGTCAAAATGAGAGCCAGGGAAGGAGAAAGCACCGGCCAGGCAGGCAGAGAGAGAAGGAACAGGCAGAGGCAGCAACACAGAGCGTAGCACAGGCGGTGGGTGGGTGAGGGACAGTGTGGTGACTGCTGGGCGGGCCTGTCTGCCCCACCAAATGAGGAAGTGGCTGGAAGCAGGACTGAGGGAGGCTACTGGGGAGGAGAGAGGGACGCTCAGCCTCAGCTGGAGCCTGCGCCTGGGCTGGGGAAGGAGGAACCTGAGGTTAGGGCCCTGGGGGATGGGTCAGTAGCAGGAAGTCCACCTCCCCCATCACCCCCTCAGCTCCCTGGGCCTGGGCTTTGGAGAAAAAAGGGGAAACTGGATGTTGGTCACGGGCTGGATACTGGGAGCGAGGGGGTAGGAGTTGGAGTCTGCAGGAGGGTCAGGGCCCAGGCCCAGACGCTCTGGCTACTAAATGCCACTCTCGTCCAGGCCTGGTCTGGTCTGGTCACTGGAGGACCAACAGCCTCCCCCAGACCGCCAGGCCCCGCCCCTGGTAGGCGCTCTAGGCCTCTTAACTGCGGGAGCAGAAGTGAGCTGGGAGCCGAGGCCAGAGGAGGCTCTGGGCCAGAGGGCCCCCTGACCTGAATGCGGTTTCTCAGGTTCCTTCTAGCTGGGTCCCAGGAACTTGAGGTACTGGGGTGGTGGGGAGGGGAGAGATGTGAGGGGGAGAAGGGGAGGGCTCCTGCCATGAAAGTTCACGGTGAGGTTTCTGCGAGGTCTATTGAAATAATGCGCGCCCGGCACACTCTATAAGCTGAATGGATGTCGTATTATTGTGATATTGGTGCTTAAAGCCTCCCACACCCCTCAGCCTCAGCCTCCTGATCTGACCCGCCCCGCTCCAGCCAGGTCCTGGCAGGCCCCACCCAGCAGGAACAGGCGTGGGCACAGCGCAGGGTCATAGTGCTCGAGACTCCCCTCGAACTGCTGAGACGCAGGAAGTCCAAGATGTCCCAAAGGAGCAGACTTGGGTGTTGGCAGATGCTTGTGGGATATGGGGTACAGTCTGTTAACCAAGCAGAAGTGAAGTTTTTCTTTTTTTTTTTTTTAGATTTATTTATTAATTTATTTATACAAGAACTGGGGTACAGACCAGATGTGTGGGAGGGTGAGAGGATTCACCAGAGCCAGAGCGGGGAACAGAACAGGCAGACTGACGAAATACACTGCTGAGGGGAGCAGCGGGCCAGACAGGAGAGGTCTGCCACGCCATGTGGGACCCTTGCCGGCCGGCCGGGGATCGTTTTGAACTGGCGCTGCAGAGGCTACGGACAGCTTCACAACACGGCGCTCAACCACCTGCGCCACCAGGGGAGGCCCCAGAAGTGAAGTTTTTTAATATTTTAGCAACTGGCACGACTGTGCTGGCCTGAGCTGGTCTCTCCTCTAAGCATGGATGAGGTCCTCCCCACTGGTGAAGAAAGAAATGGAGGGTACCCAGCTGACTGGACCTCCCCCACACCACCCCCCCCCCAACCAACGCCACACTCCAGGAAGTAGGACTGCCCCCTCCCTAGATCTGTCAAGTGTCTGGCAGCAGCCGGAATTGACTTTCCCAGAAGCAGGCCATCTCCCCAGCCTGTGACAAGTCTCTGTGTGAAGCTACAGCCCCTCCCCAAACTCCCCTGCTCCCACTTCTGCCTCTAAGCCACGCCCACAGCAGTCAGTGGCAGTTTTTTGAAAAATCAAAGAACCCAATCTTTTTTAATGGCCAAATATTTGACCACTTTACAAAAAAAAGGCATGCGTGACCAGCAAGTGTGTGAGAAAGAACACGATAACATAGTCATTAAGGAAATGCAGATTAAAACCACAATGAGACACCACTACACACCACTGGAGTGAGTAAAATGAAAAAGACTGACCCTCTCACGCGTTGCCAAAGTGGGCGCAACTGAAAATCTCGAGCCCTGCTGGTGCGAAACCAAACCCCCACTTGGAAGAAGAGGGGGGTCGTTTCTTGTAAAGTGAAAGTCACGTACCCAGAGACCAAGGAGTTCCGCGGAAGCAGGCATTTACCCAAGAGAAATCAATGCCGGGGTTCACATGAAGTCCTGCCCTCCCCACTGGCCTCCCCTCCCACAGCGCCTCTCTTGCTTCCCCTGCCCCAGCTGCAGTGGCTTCAAGAAGTCAGGCTCATTCTTACCTCGGGATTTTGGGGCCTGCAGTTTTCCCTGCCTAGTTCCCAAAGTCTGGCTCCTTCTCATCCTCCAGGTCTCGGCTCAAATGTCACACCCTCATGGAGGTGTCCCGAGAACACCACTCTGAGGTCACTTCCCACCACCAATTTCATTTTCTTCCTGTATTCATCATACCTGAAATTCTGATTTACATGTTCCCATTTCTATTGTCTGCTGCTTCCTCTAGAATGGAAACTCCAAGAGAGTCGGGGCCTTTTTGCCTTGGTTGCTGTTGTATCACCCGTGCACATAGTAGGTGTTCAATAAACATTCTTTGGATAGTGGACTAAGTGATCACTAGCGCTAACAGGCTGGATTAGACAAGGCCCCTCCCCTCTGCAGAGGCTGAGCGTGTCCCAGACTGCTCACTGTTTATTTTTGAATTATCCCCTTGGCATATAAGAATATTGGTGTCCCCCAATATCCTCTCAATGGATATGATGGAGGGGGCTCAGGGACCAGGTGATACAGAACACAGAAGGCAGGTGGGCTCTGGGGACAGAAGCGAAGGGAAAGCTCTTGCTTTCATGACCCCCCTTGCACCCTGCTGTGAAGGAGACATATGGAGGAGAGACCCATGGGAGAGAGACCTGGGGGGGAGGGGCAATGGCGGCTGTTACCTTGATTTGTACTTCGGTGTTGCTCCTTTTGTCTCAGACTTGTCTGGCCCCTTTCTCTCCCTTCCTAAGGTTCCCCACCAGAAGGGGCCCTGGGCTTGAGGCAAGCTTCAGGGGGATCCTGTCAGGCTGAGCATTTACCAGAAGGGTAATTATCCTTTCTTCTCTTCTCTTTCTATGCATGCTAATTCTGTTACAGTTCTTTCACGCTAGGAGTCTGCTTTGTCTTTGTGCGCACAGATGTCTAGACCCCCTCTGGAGACTGCAAGTTTGGGGGGTCCCAGCGTGCCTCTCACTCACACACTAAAACCTCCTCTCTCCTCACTCGCTTTCAAATTAAATTCTGATGTGAGTACCAAAATATTTACAGTTGAAATATGATGTCTGGGGTTTTGCTACAAAATAATGGAGGAGCGGGGGTGAGCAGGCCACTGCAGACTGTTCTCAGGGATAAATGGTTATTGAGGATCCTTTGTACTCTTGTGCTTTTCTCTCTTTACAAAATAAGGGTGTTTTGTTTTTTTTTTTTTTTTCAGCATGTGGTACATTTCATTGATAGGGCACAGGACACATGCCTGAGCCACAGGAAGGCTGGGAAAGTACGTTTCTGCTTTCTAGATTAGGGAAGCCAAACTCATAAGCAAGAAATTCCCAAAATGTAGAGATGAGGTTTAAAGACTCTGGATGTCTGGATAGAAAGAAATGTAGAAATGTCTACATCAGGGGGATTCCCTGGTGGCACAAGGGGTTGAGCACCACACTGTGAAGCTATCTGCAGCCTCTGCAGCATGAGTTCGATCCCCGACCAGGGAGCCACCCACAAGGCGCAGCAAACCTCTCCTTACTCGCCAGTTGCTCCCCTCAGCAGTGTATTTCAGTCAGTCTGCCTGTTCTGTTCCTCACTCTGTCTCTGGTGAATCCTCTCACAGGCCCCCCTACACTTCTAGCCTATACCCCAGCTC